TCCTAGAGCCGATCGGAATCCTTGTTAATCGCGATAGGTTTTGTCCTAGAGCCGACCGGAATCCTTGTTGATCGCGATGGGTTTTGTTTAAGAGGCCCTTTGGGTATCCGGAGCTAGCTCCTACCGGCTCTAAACTAACCGTAATAGGTTTATTTAAGATGTCCTTGTAAGTATCAGGAGTTTACTCCTACTAGCTCCGGACTAACCGCGAGGGGTAACCTTCTCTAGACCCAGAGCCGATCGGAACTTTCTAAAGGCGTCTCCTGATAAAGCCTTAGTTAGCCCATCTGCCACCTGTTTATTAGTTCCTATATATTGTAGGTCTACTGCCCCTTCCGCAAGCTTTTGACGTATATAATACTCTTAAATAGTAATGTATTTCGTCCGCGAGTGGAATTGTGGGTTCTTAGCTAATGTAATTACTCCCTGATTATCGCCGTATATTATCGGCGTTGCCAGCTCCTTATTACTAAGCAGCTCTGACAGTAATCCCTGCAGCTATACGGCTTCTTTTGTAGCTTGGGTGTATCCTATATATTCTGCTTCGCAAGTCGAAAGCGCTACTGTTGGCTGTCGCTTCGACTACCAGCTGATTACTCTACTTCCGATGTTGAAGACATAGCCAGCGGTTAACCGCCGCGTTTCTATGTTACCGGCAAAGTCGGAGTCAGTAAAGCCTTGGAGTGGTCTCAAATCTCCGCGGAAGACGAGTTCGTAATCAAGTGTTCCTCTTAAGTAGCGGAAGATACGTTTGACTGCCTTTTCATGCTCTGAAGTTGGGTTTAACATGTACCTGCTTGCAATAGAGACGGAGAAGGCCAGATCGGGCCTAGATCCTAACATTGCGTACATCAGGGACCCGATTCGTTTGGAGTACTCCCTCTATTCGGATTCCGTGGCCATATGGCCTTCGGGTGCTGGCTGGAGCTTCGTATACATCGGAGTAGGGGCTGGGTTATAATCCCACATGCCGAATTCTCTTAGCACCTTTTCCAGATAGCCCCGTTGATTGATCCTCAGAACACGGTTACGTCGATCTCTTGTGATTTCCATACTAAGGTAGAATCGACAGGGGCCTATATCTGTCATCTTGAAGCGACCGCTTAGTGCTAATTTAAGTTGTTCGATCTCTGGTTTAGAAGGTCCTATAATTAGAAGATCATCGATATAGGCCGCCACGTATGTATTTCCTTTGGTAAACAGTGCGAGGTCCGAGGACAGAGGTCGAAAACCGTGTTTCTTAAGGAAGTTTGCAAGTGTGAAGTACCAGATTCTGGGTGACTGTTTCAGACCGTACAAGGCCTTGTTGAGCCGGCAGACTCTCTTTGTCCCGTCATCCAGGCCCGCAGGTTATTCGACGTATATTTCTTCATTAATGTCTCCGTAGAGGAAGGTGGTCTTAATATCCATATACTCGATTTCTAGATCCAATGCTGCAGCAATTGCGAACAGGGCCTTATAGCTCATCGGCTTGACCACGGATGTAAAGGTGTCATAGTAGTCGATCCCTTCTTTTTGATTAAAACCTCGAACTACCCAGCGCGCCTTCTATCGAATAATTTCTCCTATAGGGCCGCGTTTGAGTTTGTACACCTACTTGCCACGGAGTACTCTTCTGCTATCAATGGGTATATCTACTAGGGTCTAGGTGCCATTCTCGAGAAGCGAATCAAGCTCAAGTCGCATTGCTTGCTGCTAGTAGGGCTACTAGTTGTCGTCTAATTGGGCTTCCTAGAGACTTCGTGGTTCGTACGGTTCTGACGTAGCGACGGCTGCTGAAAGGAAAGCCGTAATAAGTGCATACCTCTGTGGCAGTTGGCCCTTGTTACTTCGCACAGAGACCCGAACTGGAACAGGTTCTGATCCTGTGTTTTCGGCTTGCCGTCCGATTTCATGGCGGAGCTCTTCCTGTAGCTGATCACTGGCTTGCTGCTGCATTGTGTCTTCATCTGGCTGCGTAGCCTTCGGTGGTGGATGTACTTCCGGTTCGATGAGAACATAGTCTCCCCCTGTATCAGCCACCGGAGGAGGAGGTTTAGGCTGTATGTTCCTCCGTTTCGGAGGTGGTAGGTCTTCAAGGCCGAGGTAAGGGCGCTTCTCATTAAAGACAACGTTAGAAGCGCGAATGACATTGCCTAAGGGCATTAGGATCTTATAGATGACGTCTCCGTCGTATCCAATCAGTCTTCCCTCTCGAGTTTTAACATCGACCAGTTTCTTTCTGTCACCTTTTGCCTTAAGCACGTGAGCGGTGCATCTAAGCATTCGGATATTCGACAGGTCTGGTTTTTCTCTATGCCAAGCTTCGTAGGGTGTTTTTCCGATTCGTTGGCTAGGACTTCGATTACGGAGGTATATAATTGTCTCTAAAACCTCAGGCCAGTATTCCATTGGGATACTACTTGCCAGTATGGTCGGATGAAGCTTATCTATCAGGACTCGGTTCATCGATTCTGCTATACCATTTTGCTGGCTTTCTTTAGTGGTATTACGCTCTAATTCGATGCCCCGGTTATAGTACTAGTCGAAGAGCTTATTTAAGTTAAGTTCTCCTTGGTTAATTCGAATCCGACGTACTTTGCGAGAGCCGCGTTCGTTGTGTTCTATAAAGTGCTTCAGTATTGCGATCGCATGGTCCTTCTGCCTAATACCTTTTGCCGTTGCCATTAAAGTATAGTCGTCAGTGATTACCACCCAATATCGGGATCCGTCGCGTGCTGTAGTTCTGAAAGGCCTAGAGCAGTCTACGTATAAGAATTCTATGGGGTATTCGCCTCTTTTCATCGGGTGTTTATGTAGTTTTTCCCGCATCCGACCTTGTACGCACTCCTTATAAAGGCAGTCGGTTGATGGCGTATGGTCCATTCCGGTTAACATGCTCTCCAGGGCTCTCAGGCTTCCTTCTCCGAGATGTCCCATTCGATAGTACCAAACTCGGAGACGTGGATCTTCGATGCTGTAAGCCAATAGCGTATGTTTGAGTGGCAGGTCTTGTTTCCATATGTTCGGAATATAGAGACCATTCTTCGGGATTGCAGAGTACCTGCTATTGTGGTAGGATATTTCAGCGCCTTTCTTACTGAATTTGATATTATATCCGCGCTTAAGGAGTTGGGAAATTGATATCAGGTTCACTTTGATCTCCGGGATGTAGAGGACATCCGACAGTATCATCGGTATGCATTTCCCTTTTTGGTTGGTGTTAATCTTTATGCAGCCGACTCCGGATGGCATGATCTTTAACTCATCAAACCCCGAGACTGCCTCCCCTTTGTAAGGTTGAAGGGAGATAAGGTCCTCGCGCCTGTGGGTAATGTGTTGGGCGTAGCCGGAGTGCAGTACCCATACATCAGCCAATATGGTGGCGGTATAAGACTTTCCTGTCATCAGCATACGCAACCCTATATGGGCCAGCTTAGCTGGCATCTGTTCATCGTCCCTAGGTTTCTTAGAGCGCTCCCTCTTCTGGCCGATACGCGTACTTCCGTTCTCGTTTCTCGGCTGGTACTATGTAGGCGCCAGCTCTGGGTGGAGAGACCAGCATTGTTCCCGACCTCCCTGATGAAACTTGTTGCAGTGACCGCATTTTGACTTTCCAGATCCTCCTTAACCATAGTTGGGTTTCTGATTTTTATCTTGCCCGCGCCTGGTTAGGAGTGCTGATCTACTCTCTTCCTGCTTTAAGCCGTCTTCCTCTTTACTTGCTAGCAGTATAATATCGTCAAATTTAACGGTTAGACTGCCCCTTCCGTCTTTGATTGACGTCGCCGGGATAATCGGGTAGTTCTGGTAGAAACTTGTACGAAAGATGGCATAATTCGGGCCGAGGCCTTCTAGGAAGCGAATGATAAGGAACGGATCACCCAGAGTGACGGACTTATGTAGTTGGAGCAGCTTATTCCGGGCCTTCCGAAGTTGCTGAGCAAAGTCCATCACGTCTTTACAGTCACTGAGGGAGAGACTGTTAAAGCGGCGGTCTAAGGAGATGAATACGGCGGTGCCTGTGGGTTGATATTCAACTTTGACGCGGTTAAGGATGCGCTGGATCGTCATAGCCGGCTTGCGAGCATCCTCAGATGTTGGCGGTGTTGCTATTACCGTGTCCGAGGCAGTCGACGGTGCGCCTTCTACGGCTGATTCAATGCCGTTTACGTCGTCGAATTCTATCTCTAACTACTTCCTCCCAGTGTAACCGAGCCTACTAAGCACCACTCTACATGCTTTCAGCTGGAGGTCCTCCTAGTGTTCCACTCTCTTCTAGAAGTCTGTCTCTGCTTCTCCCGTCTTTCTTACGGGCTGACTAGCGCTTCCTTTCAACAGTCGCGCGAATCCCTAAATCGTTAGGAAATCCCTTATGGCCCTGTCCTAATTGTTCTACTGAGCCGGTGACTCTAAGACCGGCACTAGTTGCTCTAGGCTATTGGTCGAACCCTTGGCTTCCATTCTTACGTGCCTTCTTAATGCTATTCTCGAATATTCTGTGAATCTAAAGAATCGATGAATTATGTTGTGTAATGCAGGCGTTGAGAGTTAGGCAATTCGAGGATGGGTCTAATATCTGTGTTAGATCCTTCAGTATTATAGGAAGTCTAGGTCCTGATATCGGGGTTATAAATCCCGACACTGGTACTGTTCGGAATCCGAAACCTGACACCGGAAGTACGGATTTCGACAGCTAATACTGTACGGAATCCGAATCCCGACACCTCCGGCATTTGTCGGATTCAGAGTCTGTCTCCGTTGTATACATTTTGGTATCTCCGATCGTACTAGATCCCCGAGACATCGTTTAGGCCTTATCTTCCGGGAGGCGTAGTCTCGATCATCTAAGAAGTGTCTTTAAATTAGTTCTGAAACGCTAAGTGTCGAAGGTCTTCCACTTAGCCGATTTTAGCGTAGCTTGCGCAAATTTGGGCTCATAACCTGATATTTGGTGTACAATATGATCCTTAGTTTTCAATTTATGAACAGCCTAGAAAGGTGGGAAGTCTGCAGGCTATATAATCCGCACCCAGATGCGGTTGACTAATCACCCCTTCAACACACAGGCCTGGAACCATAACAGCAGCATCTCCCATCAATCAATCAATCAATTACTGTTGATCGATTTGGCGTGTCAATTAATCATGGAAGCAATAGGGTACCTATTCAGAGGCAGCGAGATGCTTATTTGTGTAAGAAGTAGGATACATGGCAGGGTAGATATACCCAGGATTATGTAATGTACAGAATGGGATGACTAAATAAACCTCTGATTCCCGACAATTACAGACAGGCCTGGGGGCCCTGCTGGCCGGTGTAGGAATAATTAACCAACCAACCAATCAATCAATCGATAGTTCCCCTTCTTTAGCTTTATAATAAATGGAAGTGGTTCTCACAACCTCCGCGGTCAAACTGTCTCACCTATGTCTATATAAACCGCTCTATCCGTACCCAAATCCTAGATCCTTTGCCACTAGTTATGAGGTCCCTTCCATATTGCTGATGACACCTACTATCCCCTGCTAAAATCAAGCGATTCTTGATTCAATATCGGATCTCCCATATTATTGCCGGCGCCCTTTTGTGTTTTGTCACGTCTCTTCTCTTATTTATCGTTAGATCCAGTTATTTGTTCATATAGAAGTGTTGGTACGGGTGTTATTTGAGCAATGGATTTATTTATAGTCTTTCTCGCCAGTTCTCTCGCACTCGCTAATGCCGAGTGTATGTGTGAAAATGAACCCTTCGGGCAAAGAGTTAGCTAACCGTGAAACAGTGTCCTATAATGTCTCTAGCTCTATGACCATAACTCCTGGCCCCGAATCATCGTGTTCAGCTAACTGCTCAGTCGGCCCACCTGACCTTACCTCTTGGGTATGGGTGCCGGTTACAATCACTAGGAACATTACTCTGGCCACGGTTATATATATCGTGAACAACCGCACGAACACGACGAAGACCACAACTATAACGAACACGTTACCCGCGGATATTACACCCCCGCCAACCAATGTAGGGGGGACCGTTGTCAATACGTTCACCTACGAAGGGTATAATGGGGTTAATACAACGAAGGTTATCACCTATCCGTCCCTTTGGTGGGACTATAACGAGTCGTATTCCTGGGGGGGGACCCTTAATATATCGTCGACGACATCGGGAGGTCTAAAGGATACCGCCCCAATATGCATTACAGCGCCAGAAGGGGGTACCACCCTAACACTGAAATCTCATCCGCCATACCCAGGGGTAACTGATTATTATACCTGGCTAGAGGACGAAGTTCTTTGGGAAAGCTGTATGTCATCTGCATATGGACCATCTATCTCCGCCTGGCCGGTTGGCTCCGATGCTACTACCTGTTTGCCCGTCTTGTCGACCATCAGACACAAGTATCCTAAATCTGACGACACTCTTGGACTTACGTATACCTTGGTCGAAAAGTGGGAGAGGAATGGACTCGGGTTATATACCGAGCTCTTCCCAGAGCTGGCAACCTATACCGACTGTAATCAGACTGGAGTCCATCCTGTCCAACCTATTCATACCGTCGGCTTCCTAACCGAGACGAGCGTCAGCTTCGACGACTCCATCGAACCAACGCCTCCAGGCAACTCGGAGAATCCCGGTCCTGAGCCTACACCACTGCCGCCAACAGTCGTACCACCCCAACCCGAGCCAACACCTCAGCCTGAACAACCTACACCATCGCTGCAGCCCGAACAACCTACACCATCCCCCCAGCCCGGACAACCCGCCCCATCCCCCCAGCCCCAACAACCCTCTCCCAGCGACGACGTCGGCAGCATCATCGCCTCTCTCCTCAACCCCGGCGGCAACCCAAACCCGCCCGCCAACTCCGTTCCAGCGCAACCCGCCGCAGAACCAGCATCCAACGCCCCCGCGAACCCAGGGAACGATGCCGGGATCCCTCCCGGAGCTGCACTCGCTGCACCCGCTGCACCCGCTGCGCCGGGCGCTGCGGCACCGAGCGATTCGCTGGCGGGGTTCATCATTAGTGCGATTGGTGGAGAGGCGCCGGTAGCTGGAGCTACTCCTGGTACTGGATCAGGATCGGGATCTGGACAAGAGAATCCAGGGATCCCAGCCGGCACTGGTAGCGGAAGCGGTACTGGCACTGGAAGTGGCTCTGACAGCGGAAGAGGCACTGGCAGTCGCACTGGTAGCGGCATTGGAAGCGGTACGGGCAGTGGAAACGGTTCTAGCGGCACAAGCGGCGCTCCAGCAGGCGGCGCTAGTTCTACCGGCAGCCCATCCAACGGAACCAGCAATCCTTCAACTTCGCGACCTACGGCACCCTTGACCAAACCGTCGGGTGCAGCGTCGCGGGGCGTGACGATGGGATACGGAACGTGGTCGTTCTCGTTTCTTTCGCTGCTATTTAGAGCGTGGTCGGTGTGAGTGAGGAAGCGGAGGAAAGAGGAGGTATTTTGAGATCTTGTTGATGGAAGTATTATAATACGGGGGATTATTTCGAGCGGGGGATAATTAAAGGGAATGGCGGATAACGTGGTAGAGCATTATATTGAAGTCGTACGCGCTTAGACTGCTCATGATAGAGAGGATAATGTTTGGACTCAAAATTACAGACGAGTATAATCACTTGGGGAGTCCTTGACTGGTTCTTCGGATCTAACTTTAGGATCTTTCTCTTAGTGCCTGCTTTAATAGGCTTTTCCCCTTAACGGATCTCTTGCCGCTTGTCTTCTGGGTATACTCCCGTGTATTATATCTGCGGGGTGTCGGCCATATTTTATATCTCTCGCTAAGCCTGCGGCTCGAATTCCGACTCCTGTTTATCCGATCTATACGCTAACAAGGATCGATAGGGTTCTAGTATCTTAATTCGTTAGTTCGGTAATTCCGGTTCTTTATAACTAGGTATTTCTTTCGATAGCCCGCGAAGTCCAACTTTACGCGTCCACGTCGCCGCGGGTGGAAACATTGATGGAGAAGAGTTCTCTATTGATGGCTAAGTACAGTGGCGATGAGAGAGACGTGTAAGAGTCTCACTGTCGGGAATCTCCAATCGTGAGGCAAACATTGAATTGTTGCTATGAAGGAGGAATCTATCTAAGGTGTGCGAGGCGTTTATCTGTTCTGGTGTTTACAGAGCAAACGGGCCACAAGGCCACAAGGCATCCAGGTCTGCGGACCTCTGATCCATCACAAAAACGTTCACATCTGGGCAACGCGTACCCTGAAGCCCCAAATATCGATTTATATCGATCAGTGGAAGCAGCGCTACCAGGATAACAGTCACACATGAAATCTCTCGATGAGCTTATTGTCCATGATCAAAAAATGATAGAAGCCAATTTGTCGAATATGTTTGATGTAGCAGTGAGAAGGGTGTGTGATCAGGGTGTCTCATCATGCCGTTAGTCACAAGTATTGCCAACCACAGTATTTGGCCGTGAAGAAAATTTACAAGACCGAGAATGTCAAACTCCTTGATAATATTGATCGCCTTATCGACGAGAAATTTAAACGACGGAGAGGAGGAACTGTTCAGAATACAGAGACCTTGTTGTAAGGCGCGAGATATGCGAAGGTTAAAATAAGCTAGATTTGTTGATCGTTTTGGCGTGTCAATCAATCACGGAAACAATAGGATACCTGTTCAGAGGCAGTGAGATGCTTGTATTCGGTCAGAAGTACATAGTTTACCTTGACGGGTATATATACCCAGGCTTATGTAATCTTATGTAATCTACAAGGTGCGGTGACTAAGTAATAGCCGCGGAGTTCCGACAATATCTGTCGCACGTGATGTGCTAAAATGGTTGGGAGTGAGGTGCTGTTGTTCCAGCAGCGAAGTTGTTGTATTGTTGTGTTGTGTGTAAGTTGTGTGTTCTAGCTGAATGCCTGGCCCCCCGGCCCTACAGATATACGAGAGTCACGGCAAGATTATTAATGCAGTTTGTAGCCTTGGACTCCTAGAGCTCATGCCTTGGCCTGCGACAATATCCAACACTCCCCCTTAAACGTCATCTATAGAATACAAGATTATTCTAGAGTTTCCATCATCCCGATCATTCCTATAAGTCTTTGGAGGGTAGTCCTTAGGAGAGCTGTTGTTACGGCACGGTAGCTGGATGTACACAACATACGCGTAGCCAAAGATATTCTAGATTAAGATGAAGAGTACAAGGTAACTATGACAGAGGAATCTTGATGGGCTGGTGATATTTTCCCACCAGGTTTTGTTATTTTCCCACCAAATGCTATTTTCCCACCACGCTAGCAATGGTGGAAATTAAATTCTTAATTAGGATTAGCTAAATTTTTTGGTCTTCCCCTGAGAATGTCAAAACTTCGAATCCTTTACTCTTTTCCTTCTTCAAAGATCTCTATATACCGGAGATGATACTCTCCTTAGATATCCCAGTATAGAGGATATTACCCCTCCTCTAGATTGCCTTTACGCGTCCTACGAAGAAGCCTACGATTCTCTTCGGAACCATGGAATGCAGCATAGCTATGGCTTCCTACTCAACCGGAGTAGACCTCACTACTCTGATGTAAAGACACGATACTACTACTCCTGCGATCGATCCGGAAACTATCGGTTAAGAGCAAGGGTTCGAAGCACAAGCACGCGCGCAATAGGATGTCCTTTTAAGCTTGTTATCTTTAAGATAAAGGTATTAGACGACAACGACCAGTGGAAGTTAGAGGTTCAACATAGCCATCATAACCACCCCCGATCACTTAACCCTAGTACGTATAATGTCTATCGCAGACGTACGTCAGTATAAAAAGATATAGTCGAATCGATGACACATGCTAGGGTACGTCCGATGCAGATAATGGCTGCTATTCAAAAGGAGGATCCGGAAATACTCGTCTCTGCTACCGATATTCGTAACGAGAGGAAGACGATTAGAGAGAAGCACTTAAATAGGAGGAGTCCGATTAAGACATTACTAGATGACCTGTCTACGCCGGAATAGGTCTTCACTGTTAAGAAGGATGCGGATTATCACGTACAAGGCCTCTTCTTTGCCTACTAGAAGCAGATCGAGCTACTGCTTGCGAATCCCGACGTCCTATTAATGGACTGTACGTACCGAACCAACAAGTATAAACTCCCACTGTTACATATACTCGGCTGCACCAATCTATAGACCTTCTTCTCTACAGGGTTCTGCTTCCTCCACAGCGAGAAAGAAGCAGATTACCATTAGGCAATCTCAAACTTCCTCCTCAAGACAGGGACACCGCAGCCACGCGTGTTCATTAGCGATCAAGAGGATGCGGTGAAACTGGTAGCTCGCACTCTGTTTCCAGGTGTTCCATAACTCCTATGCGTATGGCATATTAATAAGAATCAATTTAACGTACTATCTGGATCCCTTTCGGGTCTATGAGCACGATATTCTATCTGGTCTGCCGCGGGCAAAAGTTTCCCCGTAGCCCTGAGGCTGCGGGTATATAAAATCCCGCCTCCTCCCTTTAGTAGACTATCTCAAACGTTTATTATCTATCCGTACGAGTCGGTGTTTCCGCCTACGCGGAGAGCTTATTCTGGCACGTCGTGGAGGAACTAGAACGGTTTCCAGTCCTCTATTACCTCCTCCTCAACTTCCTTGGCCACCCGGTATTGCTCTAGGCCTCCCGCATCGATCAGCCACCTTGCTGCGTGGCGCACCTTGTCCCTGTTATGCAATATCCTCTTAAAGTCCGTTGTTCCAGCTCGTTAGAGGAGCTCGATCCTCTGGTCGGTCCGCTGCGGGCAAAATGCAAGGAGATAGTAGAGACTAGAGAGACTGTCGGGGGGCACCGCACTCACACGCTGGGTGGATTCTAGGGACACCAATTTTTGCGAGCCATCCTTTAACTCTAACTACCTCAGTCCGTAGTGCCATAAGCGCCGAGGCCTCGTGTTTCTGAAGGCCGTCGTACCGGTTAAGGCACTGGGTTTCCCACGGGTCCTTCCATGTCCTTGCTCTCCTTCCTGGTCTGGCCGCTTCGGCTTGCTATCTCTCCCTCCATTTCGCTCGATACTCGTCCTGGATCATCCGGTACGGGCCTTTTCGCTGTTATATCTAATATCCTCTAATTAGTTCGGGCCGGGGGAACAGAAGTCTGTTATACTGGGTCCGAAGCGTACTTATCGCGGGTTCAGGTTTAGACCGGATACGGCGGGGTCGGCCTCGAGTTCGTCTCGGGGGAGCAGAAGTAGTATCCCAGACTTGCGTCAGGGCTCCCTCAATCTGGGTAGTGATCTTGTGGGTATTCGTCGATGCTGCTCTTTGGGCGGCCCGTTCTTGGACGTAGAGTTCGATTGGGGGAACGTCCGCCTCTCTCTCAAGCGCGGCGATTGGTGTCCGTTTATAAGCCCCTAGGATCTTTCGTAGACACTTGTTCTGAACCTTAGCTAGGTCCTTCATTTTGCCTTCAGAGATTGGCTCACCCTGCTGACAGACTCCCCAAATAGGGGCGCCGTATGTCATAATAGGCCGTGCAACCGCTGTGTAGAGCAGCCTCGATTTCCGGACGGATGGTCCCCATACCGATGAAGTTACCCTCGCCAGGGAGTCGAAGGCCTTAAGTCCCCTCTGTGTTGCCCGGAGGATATGGTCCTTCCATGAGCGTATGGCATATTAACAAGAATGTACAGACAAAGGCTCAGAAGACCTAGCGAGACGCTGATGGCGCAACAAAAGAGGAGAAGGAGAGAATCGCTGAGAAACGGGCTCAATTCATGAAACGTTGGAGTCAGGTATGCTCACCTCTAATGGCCTCTTATAAGTCTTTTATAGAACTAACTAGAGCAGCTTGTCTACGCAAAAGGAGTACTTACATTTGAGCTAAAGTGGGACGAGTTACTCAAAGACTATGCTGACCAGCAAGAGCTTTGCCAATACTTACGCAAAAATCAATGGCATACACGCACTAAGTGGGCAGCTGCTTGGACGTCTCGGTATCGACATTATAATACAATTACCACTTCTCCTGTTGAAGGAATGCACAAGGTTTTAAAGGACTACCTTATGACTTCAACAGGCGACTTACTCCGCGTTGTCGAGAGGATTGAGCAAATGATCAAGAATCAATACAATAAGTATAGGAAGGACCTTGCCTCTTCGAAACAGCGCCTCAAATTCGAGCATAAACTAGAGTCAATGCCATTCTTGCCTCCCGGCATTTATGACATTCTTACGCCACCAGCAATTGAACGTATTAGACAGCAGGATCTGCTGCGCTAGAAGGAGCAGACACAAGGTCGCAGCGGACATCCCTGTTCTGGCCTCTTTGAGACGATAAACGGTCTTCTATGTCATCATACGCTACGAGACATAATAAACTCTGGATCGACGTTACGACTAAATCACCTTTACGACGATCATTGGCGCTATCAGCGTGAGCAAGGACGGTCAATAAGTCTCTCTCCAAGGCCATATCAATCTATTCTA